ACAGCATTTTTTCATATTTGCCTAAAACTTTTGCACAGTACTGTATGTCTTCTACTTTGGTAGTTGCAGCAGAAAACTTTTGGTAGGGCATTAACAGTCTGTTCTGCTCTGTGCAATCACACTGCAATCCTGCTGTAAGACAAAAGGACTCACAAGAATTGCCAACAGTGGCAAGGACTGAAGGAGAAAGCCTGCTTTTGTGAATTAGTGCCTCTCCTGGGCAGGAAACTTTTTTTTTTTTTTGCTGTTGAGGGTTGGAAAGAGATTACAGCAACATGGTTCACCCAAGGCAAAATTGGGCATTTCCATATGGCAAAGAAGTGGAGGGGGAACAGGTCACAGCAGTTAGACATGACACAATGTGCTCACCCTTACATGCTTATGTGTGTTCTGTAGGTTGTTGGAATGGAATAGGGTCTTGGGGTTGGGCATTTGTATCTCAAATCCAAGAGAAAGAGTGTTGTTATGGTTCTCAACAATTAGTCATATGCTGTAGTTGCTATGTATGATGTGAGGCTGGACTGATTTTTGAAGAGTATTAATGAAAAAAAGATTCCATCTTTTTCTGTTTCTAAGCTCTATGTATGTGAGGCTGGAGAAAGATAGGTAATTTCCCTACTAGTGATTTTCAGTGTTTTCTACAATAATTCAATCACTGTTTTGTTAAAATGACAGGAATGAGGACAGGCTTTGTATTACTTCAACAGTGGCTGGATAATGGTATGAAAATGCTATAAATTGCTAGTGGAGAAACACCATAGACTGGAAGGTGTAATCTGAACTGTAATATCTTTTAAAATTTTCTTACAAGCAATATGGAAGCAGTGCTATCACTGAGGATTAATTTCTGCCATATCATAGGATCTTTTGCACTGCTGAATTAAAATTCTATCCACCCATTCTTGTATCAGCAGAAAATTATATGGGCATCAAATTTCCATTGTCTATCTCTGTCCTGTCACTATTGCCTCAGTGTTGGGTTACTGCCAGTCATTCAACTTCCCTCTACACCAATAGGTGAGAAAGACTGCTTTTGCGCATCTTATGTGTCCTTGGATGGATAGAATAAGAATTAAAATACTGCTCTAACAATGGTACAGTTAAGGAGAAACTTGACCCTGTCTCATTCATGGGCTTGGGGATGAGCTGAAGGCAACATCATAAGGATAAGGCAGAAAAAGACACTGCCACATAGCATGGTTAAGTACAAGTGTGGAAAAGTTCATAGCTCTTGGCTGGGAGACTTGGACAGGGCAGCTAATTAGATATGGGTGTTGCAATTTTTTTTTTTTTTTATGTTCCATTGTACTCAGTGAAATGAAAATTCTTGAATTAGGTTCAGTTGGACCATCAATAGCTTTAAGTGAGGTCTCAAAGTTAGAATAATGATCTGGGTAGGGACAGCATTTTTATAAAATAATGACCATTTGGAAAGCATGGTGGGACTGATGCATAAACATTAACAAAACAATGTGATTGTGGAAAATAACTGTACAGCAAAAGATCTACGAAATGATCTGAAGTAGAAACTGTAGTAGTTGGGACATTACTTCTCTTGAAGTATAAGAAGAACAACCTTCTAAAATCTGCATGTTGGGAAAATATTAATAATGTTATTGTCATAGATTAAATTTGCCATTCTTGTGTCTCTTTTAGTAACACCGGCTGTACCCGTGGTTGTTCAAAATAAAACAGTGGAGTTTCCAGCATTCAAGACTATAATTCAGTGGAAAAGGCAAACAGCAATCAATGAGACGTATTGTGAGGAGCGATATAAGGAGACAATAAGTGAAATTTGGCATGTGAGACAATTGGTTTTCTTCCTTCTGTGTTTTAATTAGCAGTGTTGCTGCAGGTTTTTATTGATTTTAGTACCATTCCATTTCATAATTCAGTTGGATGATAATAACTTCGTAGGCTCAGTGTTTTGGTTTTGTGGTGAAAAGCTTTCTGCACACACATGGCTCACACTGAACATTTCTGCATTTCACCAAAACAGAATTTAAGCTCCTTATGTATGCAGTGGCAGCTTTTGCCCAAATTTAGTGCTTAAAAATTCATATTCCCTTCAAGGAATTACAGAAGTCTTCAGATTTACGGAATTTGGCAAAACAATGGATCACAGGAGCTAAGAGCAACAATGCTTCTGTGGTTCATTTTGTAAAATGGTTAATAACGTGTGTGTGTGTGTGTAGATATGTCTGTAGGTGTGTGTGTGTGTGTATAAGAAATGCTTATATGTATTTGAATATGTGTGTGTGTGTGTATACACACCCTCACACACCCCCACACACCCATGAAATGCTTTAAATACTTAGAAGCACTATGTGATAGTTAAGGTGTTATCTTTTCTATACTCCGGGAAGAGCAATAGACAAAACTACACACATTTAATTGAACTTGTATTCATAAATATATAATCCAAATTTATAGCTCTTCAGTCTTTGACCCCACAGGCTAAACGATAAGTATGTTTTTTAAACGGCATACAAAATCATCAGATAATCCAGGTTCACGTTGGACCCATCCGTATTCAGTTTGTCTAAAACAGTTTTCCTCATCCTAGTACCCTCCAATTGTTTAGGACCTCAATCCCATAATCCCATTAACTGCTGAGAGACCTTTTTTTTTATTGCGGCAGGTCATAAATGCAATCGATCAATAATTCCACCTTTGGCCATGCTGAGTGAAGAATATAGAAACTATAGTCCATCATATTTGAAGGATTATCAGGATGGCAAAACTGATAAGAATACTCATTCTGTGTCCCGTTCACTGATTTACAAGTTATTGTTCTTTGGGATAATCCCTCCTATAAGGTTTGAAAAGATCTCATGTTTTAAGAAAGATAAATTCAGGTAGTGTCTCCCAATTTTTTATAAATGCATAATTGAGGGATACATTTGTTACTACAACTGAAAGAATGCCACACCCATATATTCTTATATCTTCAGTATACAGCTCTTACATTGGTTGAGTTGAATGAATGGCGATTCTATGAATGAACAGACTGATACCGTAACTTGATGGTGCTGGGATGCAGTTAGGCCAGTGTTTCCAAACCTTCACAGCTTCAAGAAGTGGGGACTCCAATTCCCAGAATTCCCTAGCCAGCATGCTAGCTGGGGAATTCTGGGAGTTGAAGTCCATGCATCTTAAAATGGTCAAAGTTGAGAAACACTGCAGTAGGTCTTCCTTTACCAAATCTGTGATAACACTTCTTTTTCCCCTGTATCATCTCCAGAGTAGCAATCCAGGAGACACAGGAACACATGGGGGCCCACAGGAGGAAGTAAGGGGGCAAGTGGCCAAACGTGCATCATGATATCATGACACAAAACCCACAACTAACATACTTGCATCAGAACATGGGACAGATGTACAAAAGAGAAGAGTTTGCATGATGTTGTCATTTTGATGCAATCCCAGTTTGTTATAGAGAAGTATGTCTTCCTACCTCTCTCCAGCATGAGCAAAATGTTGCTAACCACAAAGGAGGAAGGAGATATTTGTTATCTTCACATTTGTTTTTTTTTAAATTAAATATATACACAGCTATAAATATGATGGAAGGCTTGTTTAATCCTTTCCTTTAGCACTACTTTAATTTAAATCAATGTTCTTTCATAGAAAATCCCAATATAGAGTGAGTAAGCATCACTGCTCCAATTAAATTCAGGTACATTATCTTAACAGAAATGCCAAGAGATCCAGTCATGAACACGTAGCTTGGCATTGAGAGTGAACCAACCATCCCCTTCTGTGTTTCTGCTTAGTGGTACTATCCAAACATGACTTCAAGAAAAAAATGCATGTCCCATTAAGTACTATGAACAGGAATACCCCCAAATGCAGTCAAAATAACTTTCAGTGCCAACTAAGTCATATAAATCCAGAATCTAACATTATCACCTGTATTGCTATTTTTGCTTCCCCTGTTTTGAGTATGCTAGCCCTGAGGATGCTGTATTTCTATTTGATTTATTCAATTATATCTGATAAAAGAAGGAGAGGTTGACTGGAAGGGAAAGAAGCTACAACATTAAATCATACAGAATTACAGAATTAGTTTCCACTATAGATGCAGGCATTTGAGGCTCATGGAAAACATTACTTAAGAAACAGAACTTTCACAGCACATTGTCTAGGAACCAACAATTTAAGATAAAGTTAGAAGAGTACAAAACTGGATTTTATTGTTTCTGCATTTTAGGTGAGAGACTGGGATGCTAATTTAAGAGATGAGCTTTACACCGAGTACAACTTAGATGCAAATACAAAGTATGAGTTTCAAATTAGATGCAAACTAACTCACCCCAGAAGTTTGTGGAGCAGATGGAGTGAATCTGCAGTATACATTACTCCAGAGAAAGGTGAGTTCACTGCTTTTTCTTGAACATCTTTTTCAAGTCAAAGAAAATTGCACAGAGAATGGTTAAAGACTTTAAGCTGCCATAAATCAACTAATTACAGCTTTCTGAGTGTTTTCAGCAAAAAGTCAGACTACAAAATAGATACAGCAAAAGGAAGCTGTACTTTTGTCAGCTCAGGAACTGGAATACTAGATTATATCTTTCTGCTCTTGTTTCCTGTATTATTTTCATCAGATTACATATAACTGTAGCATTGTAGCCTATGGTTTTATGAATTTTAGAGGTCTATAGAAAATCCCTGTATGGAAGATTAAACCCTATCATTTTCCAGCCACATGAGCTAGAAATTCATTAATACATTTGCAATTAAAGGGATTGGTCAGTCCTGCTCCTTGGGTAGTAGCAGATCTCTCAATAATACTTCTCTTTTTTTTTTGGTCTTCTTTCAGCTTTTATAAGCAAATAAATATCACTTATTTGCCTTAAACTGCTTTTTCCCATACTGAAACTGGCCAGAAATGAATCCCATTTAAGAAATTACTGTCAATCCATTTTTCAGCATTGGCAGCCATGCTGGCCAGGTATTTCCTCCAGATGGCAGTTACCACATTTTCCTTATATCCTTGCTGGGGAAAGCAAGTACCAATCCCTTTCCTTTTCACGGGCAATCTTTGAGAAGATGGATTTCCACTGACAGTTCTTTTGTATAAGCCTCCTCCTGTTGATTTCCCCCTTGATGCTTTCCATTCACCCCATCCGCCAGTGGAGAGGTGAGTGTGGTGGTGAGGACTCCGTTCTACTCTGCTTTTTGCTACCATACTTAGGCAAGAGGAAATTGCAGAACCTTCATCAATTTTATCTGGTTTAAAAAAAAAAGGAAAGGAAAGACCATGGTTTCACAGATTAACTTGTAAAAAAAAGTCGACTCTTTCACCAGTCTTCCAGTGAACCTGTAAAAAAATTAATAAATAAGAAAGGAGGGGGGCAAAAGTCCAGAGCTTCACTGGTCCACTGGTGGGAGTATCCTTTCAGAAAGAGCAGGAAGCCTAGCAGTCCAAGATGAAAAGGCCGTGGAAGATAGCAATGCCCAGAGCGAAGAGGTCTTCTTGCTGCATTGTGCAATGGCTAATTGGAAGAGAGGCCTTTGCCTAGAAAGAAGCACCACCTGAAAACCATACAGCATTTCTTGAGGTGGCAGAAGTTGTAAAGCATTATTTTTGACATGGAGCAAGAAAGGATGGGCGCCGGTTGCCTTTATGTGGGCTGGAGACAGGTTGAAGACAACATGTGCTCCTGTTTTCGAGCAATGGTTAGTGGACCACCTCAAACTGGGGAAAGCAAGACACCTAAGGGCTCTTTTGATAGAAATAACAGGTCTAGTATAATCCATATCAAATTGCAGAAGTTCAGCATAAGAAACCCTGCTCTTTATTTTGTGCTTGCCAGTCCTGTAACTACTGGCAGTATTAGGAATAACCCCCTCCGCTTTTTACTATCTCATTTCAGCTAAGTAGTCTGGGAGTCAAAATAGCAGCAACTGAGGAGAGGAAATGAATTTTAAAAACTGAGTTGACATAGCCAGCCAAATCCTCTACAAAAGTAGGAAGGGAGCAAAACCAGAGCAAAGGCAATCTTTGTTGTTGTTCAGTCGTTGTATCTGACCCTTTGCGACCCCATGAACCATATTGCGCCAGGCCTTCCTGTCCTTCACTGCCTCCCAGAGTTTGCTCAAGTTCATGTTCATTGTAAGGCAATCTTACATTACTGCCAATGGGAACTCACTGAGGAACAGGAGAGATTTGTAGGGGAGCAATAAAATACTACCAAGCTTTTTTTTCCCCCTTTCCCTTTGATAGCTGCTGCAAACCCCGTGCTTTGAGAAGAAACCTTCTAATCTCAGCAAGAAAGACAACAAATTGAGATACAACTCTGGTTAGCCCAGTTTCACTCTGTTTTGTCAACATCAGATGAAGGTTTAGCAGGTATATTATAGGAAGCCATGTTATTGAAGAATTAGTGACCCCTGCTGACAAAACTAGGATCTAAGTAAAAACATTATCATTTTTGGATACACATTCAAGAATCTCTTTTACCACATTTATTTTGGCAGGATTCCTTTGCCTTTAGCAGCTACAAAGTGATCTGAAATTGATCGGGTGAACCCTTTCCCATTGTTGCCATTTCCTACTAAAAGAGTTGTCAATTCCTGAATATATTAGCTATTAGAAGCACTTCTTATCAAGCACAATCAGGTTGCTATGTAATAATTTTGTGTTATATTGTTGTTTTTGTTATTGTATTCTCATTGTCAGGGAGAGGGGAGAAATGGTGCAATGTTCAAACGCTCAAAGAATTTAGTACTATAGTACTAACGCAACATGTAAGGTTGTAGAGTAATGTTAATTTAGTTTACACCGTTACCCCAATTTTCTCTGAATAATCCATTGAACCAGAAACTGATAATAATGGCTGAGTTCACAGAACACCCTAAGCTCAAATGCGATTGAGTAGATTGTGATTCAGTATGTCTTGTGAATAAGGCCAGTCTTTTGTGTTTCAATTGAAAGTCTGAACTTGGGTTTATAGAGTAACAACTAGTAGCTACTTACTGATCTATTACATAATTTATTACTAATTACTGGGTAATTAGTAGTAAGTACTGTCTACTTATTACTGGCAGGTAGAAATCCAGTTATAGGTAGTTTTCCTCTCCAGCAAGCTGGCAGAAAAGCTGTCACTCTCCATATGTTATTGCACTACAACTCTGAGGCGATTCAGACAGCACAGGCTACAGTGAGTGATGCTGCAAATTATGATTCAGCAACTGTTAGAACTACACGATGAGTTCCTGATTTCTAGAGAGAAATGAAGGAAGCATCAACCAATTTACCGTTGATTGAAGAATGGAAAGCAGAATTGGCAGACCTTCACTGATGCGGGGCTACGAAGGTTGCCATCCCATAGACCAGTGTTGTCCAAACTTGGCCACTTTAAGATGAGTGGACTTCAACTCCCAGAATTCCCCAGCCAGCCAACACTGCCATAGACTCTTAATATGAGGTAGAATTGTCATGTGGTTGCTGATGTTCATGACGTTAAACTGATTTGCTATATAGTACAGTAGCCACCTGCACTATCTTTGAAAGGTCAGTATACTCTCATTTTCTATGCTTGCATATTCTTTTAAAATCTTTTTTAAAAAATACTTCATTTGCTCCAACTGTTGTTATAGTTATTCCTCAGTGTAAGAGGAATGCTATAATAGAAGAAGTCATATTCTTTTATATTTTTGTTATACTTTTTTGTTGTTACATGTTTCTCCCCTCTTTTTAAATACAGAACCTGCCGTTCTTGATGTATGGAGGAAACTCGGACCAATTTACCCCAATCATACCCAAGTGATGACTATCTTGATCAAGGTGAGAATAAACGTATTTTTAACAAAATAGAGATTATCACTTTCATAGTTTAGAACTGAGAAAGATAAGAAAAACCAGGCACCTCTGTGGGGATGTGGGTCAAAAAGGTCAAGATGGCAGTTGTGACCACACAATCAAAGCCCCCCACTTTTTTAATGTTTGTTGACCATGCAATGCACATTAAAAGGGGGTGAAGACTGCTTTGTAGGCTACACCTTGCAGCAAACCTGATCTGTTTGAGAGAGAAGGGCTGGACTAACCATCTAAGCTGGCTATGGGAAGGGGGACTGGGGGAGCCTGTAATCATTTCCCATGCATTTGTGAGAGACAGTAGGGAGCAAACCTGGGCTAATGGGCCAGGTGAGGGTATAGCTGGTTTTTCTCCTGGTTCACCACCTGAGAGCAGGGTGGTTGGGGGATTAGGTATGTGGTGGAGTGGTGGTGGTAGGGTTGGATGTCTAGTGGCATGTGGGCAGATGGCCCAAGTAGCAGATGCTGAGTGCTAGGCAGAAGAACCAGAATGCGTGGGTGTGTTTGTCATATCTGTGTGTGCAAGGTGATGATGCCGTAAGCCTTCCACCTGGGGATGGGAGGGCAAGGGTTGGGGGGATTGGACGTGGTGCGGGAGGAGCAGGCAGGCAAAGATATCATAGTGGAAACAGGCATGGGGAGATATAGCAGGAGACAGGTGTGGACTGTTCTTGGGGAAGACAATTTAATCCATGAGATGAAACTACGCAAGAGATGCCTGCTGGAGGAAGACAAAGAGTGACAGAACACGGCTAAGAACCTTTATTAGGGTTTACTTTGTGGCAATAAGAGCAGTGAAACAGGCTTATTTCTCCACTCTTCTTGTGTGCGCAGATAGCTGGCCAGCAGCCTGTTTGAGTAACCAGATCCCTCCTTGGGAACATCTGCAGGGCTGCTATGAAGACTATTCTAATCATCTAATGGATAAAGTCTCTGAGATTTGGTTGGAGTTGGATGGGTTGTGGGTTCTATGGAATAGAAGAATATAAATATGAATATAAATTTATAGAAATAGAATATGAGGCACAGCCTTGCTTGGTTGTCTGGGGAGCGTTCCAAACTGTTGGTTCTGAGGGTCCTTTGGGGTCTGAGCTCAGCCACCTGCATCTTAGATCCATGTCCCTCCTAGCAGGTGAAGAAGGCCTCCCAAAAGGCAGGGCGAGGTTCGATCCAAGCTGTGAATGCTTCTTTGTGGGAGGGAAAGGTTCCGCCTGCTTTGAAAGAGGCGGTGGAATTATCCATATTAGGAAGCCTTTTTTCTCGCTTGATTTTGAGAATATTTCAAACATTTCAAAATAAATCCAATTTAAAAATACTGCTTGGGGAGATAAATTGAGGTGAAATGACAGACAGCAAACTATTTACATGGCTCCCTACGGTTTCTTCACTTCTGATTAATTCTCTATGAAACCTTTAAAATGCTATTGTTATCTGCAATGGATGGCATTTCAGATGTAATTTGGACCTCCTGAAGAAGCTGTTGGTTCAATCACTTTTTTCCCTTTAGACCCCACATTTCTGAAACTTCTTGAATATTATATGTACAGATAATAAAAAGTTAGTTTTTGCTGTTCTCCAAAGACATTTCTTCTGCTATTTCTCTAGCCACTGTCTCCAAAGGAAAGTGGAGGAAGAATTCTGAATTATAGAATATTCTATGAAAACCGAGGAAGAAAGGTGGATTTATGTAAAACAACAGAAATATTTTGCAAAGTGATGGTGCCCCCTGCAGTGACCATTATTTATGTGACAGCCCACAATTCCAAAGGAAGTTCCAAACCTGCTAAAATTATAGTGGAACAACCACCTCACAATTTCCAAGGTAAGATATCATGAAGCAGGCAAACTTTTCGGAAATTGGATCTGCGTTTTTTTATGTTAGCAAATAAGCCACCCAGTCCCTTCTGGAATGGGTGGCCATAATACATTTAAAGAAATGAAATGAAATGAAATGAAATGAACTATCCTACTGGGGACTCTGTAACATTATTTCTACACTTATTTGTGTCCCTCTTGAAATATATTATTAAATAATTATACATTCTGAATTCCGCCATCTGCAGATTGAAGCTATTAACAAGCTAATGCAACCAGATGACCTCCTTCTGCTATCATCATATGTGCAACCTACAACTCTAAATTTCAGAGATACTCAGTTAAAAAATATTCCATTCCACTGCAGGCATAAAAGCTATAATAAGAAGTGAGAATCTAAAAATACCATTTAAAAATTAGCTTCCTATCATTGTGATTATTAAAACTTTCTGTATATATAAAAGTGCGTCTGCTAAATTTCAGGTCGCAAGTGAGTTAATAGTCATGATACTGCCTTAAAAGTATGCTTTTATAATGCAGCCCATAGTCCTTAAAATAATCAGCCTAGTATTTTTATAATTTTCACACTTTAAGAAGAAGGATTACAATTGCATAGCGCAGGTCTATCTGGTTTGTGTGCTAGTTTTCCTACAATTTCCTTTCTAAGTTCAATCTATTTCATACCATCCTTAGAAACATTTTTTAAAAACAGCTCTTAGTTGAAGAGCCCCCCTAACGGAAACAGCAATTTTATTCAAGGTCACTTCTTGATGCTCTACAAAGTTCTTACAAAGTTCAAGCTCTATGCCGCATTAATTCAGTTTATAGAAGTTAGGGACATAAACTTTTCTACAAAAATGTACCCTTTCAACCTAATTATTCAGCACCCGCAGCTTCTGAAAATACAATAAACTCATAAAATCCCATCCTTTGGATGATTTGCATTGGAATGTATGAAGCCATTTGCCACACGTTGCTGTTTGAGGAAGAATGTGCAGAGAAATGTTGCCGCTGAGGATAACACCAGGGCAAGAGTTTCACCAGGCCTATTTCACCTTGTGCATTACAACTGAGAATGAGCAGGCCATCAAGCTAAGCCATAATTTCCTTTAGCCATGGCTTGTTGAATACAGCCTTGCATATATATAGAACATGTGTAGCCATCATGATAGTTTCTTTCAGAGAAAGCTACATACTGCAGAGCGCAGAAAAGAAGAAATCTTAAGCCAAATAAATTAAAGGGATGGGATTAAGAAAAAGAAAAAAAAAAACACGGTTAAAGCTAGTTTGCAGCAGCAGCACTCATTGTATTGCTCCATATCTTTCTAACCTTGCAAACTATCCCTGATTCCACCACATCCATACACCATTTCCCACACTGACTTTTGTCACATCTCTCTTTTTTGAAGAGCTGAACTCAGTCTCCTATTTCCCTTTCCTCCTGATCCATTCACTGTTCCTTTATATATTTGTTTTGCAATTTGTTCCTCATTCATTCTCTCTATATAGCTAAGTCACCTAAAATGTTTCTTTTGCCTGAGCCACTCACTTTTGTTCTCCATCCACATTCTCTCACAGCCTATTCATTCCTGACTCTACCTCTTCTTATTGACCACATACACTTCTTTAGTATCCCAGGCCCACTGCATTCAATTTATTTTTATGTTTCTCCTGAAATACACAGCTCTCACTTCCTTATAACATAGTAGGCAGAGCATATACCCAGCCTTTTCACTGTCTTCAGCAAACATTCATTCCTTGCAACAGATTATGTATTGCCTTTCTACCATATTTGTACATCTTAAAATTTCTCCATTCATTTTTCCATTTTTATTAAACATTCTACCAAGGTACACAACCAATTAAGCCAAACTGAAATAAGCCTAGTTTTGGCTTAAAGCAGTGTGTGTCAATGTGTCATTTGGCTCTTTGCCTTAAGAGAGGCATTGTTTTCATTCATCTTGATCACAAGTGATATCTCAGGATGTACAAAAAAATACCACACTAAAATGGGGAAATTCACCAGTCTTCCATAATGTCTGAGATGGAGATGAACATATATGGAGGCCACCAGATTACAGAGACTAATTTGCATATTGTTCACTAATTTCAAAACCATTTTTAGCTAAGGACTTCCGGTTTGTGATGGTTCTGTAAGGTACATCTCTCGCTTCTCTACTGATTAAAGGGTTTTCAAACTTCTCAATTATCGGACTGTGTGGATAAAGACTGACAAAGACTTACTATTAGGTATATAATTTTTATTATATATTGACTTGTTTTTAACAAGCTTTTGGCATGGCAACAAGACCGAAACAGTCAACAGTTAGCTTAATTCCAACTGTCATCATCTGCCGAAACCAGGAAAGATGGTGGAGGAAGATTCTTCTACTAATTTATTTAGTACAAGTTTTGAAGCTGATGCAACAAGATTTGGCAGAGCTTAAAAATGATCTAAAGCAAATGCAAGATAAGCTGCTCACCATGAAGATCAATTGGCTGCTCATGAGGATGTAACTCAAGCTAGCCATAATATTCTGGATAAACGAATTATATATTTAGAATCACAATTGCACAGGACAAATGTATGATAGGCATTGAACCCCCCACCCCACCCCACTGGAGTCAATCAAACCTGGCTGGATTTATGGAGGATTTTTTCAGAAAGCTTCTGTCTTTGGAAACGGACTTTCCAGTTGAAATTGAACACATCATTAAAATTCTTTTAATGAGCAGAAGACTGAAACTAGTTCCAATATTATTATTGTGCAGTCCCTTTGTGTTACCATAAGATATGAGATTTTACATACAGTATATTTCTCCAGAAATCAGTAAAGTCACCACTGAAGTGGGGTTCCAGTTAAAGTAAGATATCAATCTATCCTGGTTTTACTAAAGAGGTTTCTCAAACAAGAAGGCTGTTCACAAAACTCGAAAACTTGCTAGATTTGCACAACTTCAATATTTCATGTGCTTTCCAGCTACATTCTGATCATCAGGATCAGATTCACAAATCTGAGAACCCATTGAATGCAGATGTCTTTATCCTATCATTGAAATCTGCTGATGGAAAAACATGATTGTGTCTCAGTTCGTAGCAACTGTTAAGGGAGAAGATTGAGTCTGCCCAAGAAAAAAAAGCCTCAATTTAAAAGACTCTAAGCTTTCAATTTTTTCCCTCTGTACTCTTGTTAACTTCATGATACTGAGTCTGGGCAGTCTTAAGGACTGCCAGCTTAAGGCCTTAACTTTGTATATAATTTCTTAGTTTAAAGGCTAGTTTGAAACTGCTCTGTATATTTACTTATAATAAGAGAGATGAAACTATAGTTCTATCCTACTGAGAAGTCATGCATTTCTTTCTCTTGATTGATTGATTGATTGATCTATTTTTAGGGTTCTCTTTAGTTTTTGTAATAATGTTATTTGTCCGCTGTTTTATTTTCTTGCACATAATCAAGTTTTTTTTCTTTTAAGTTTAGATTCTATATATATATGTAATACAATGCTATTTGAATATTAATTTGAGTTCCTATGGAGGTTCTACATCTGCGAGCAATATTAGAACATACGATAAATATTTAAACACAGAAAAATTATTATTAAAAATTATTATTTAATAATTTAATAATTTAATAAAATTATTAAATATTTGTTAAATGGTACAGGTTATAAGATGAATTGGGAGAATATTGATAAGTGGGCCAAATTAAAATTAATGGATGAAGTTAGTCAGTCTTAATGTACAAGGGCTGTGAGAACCTAAGAAACAAAATGTAATTTTCGTATGTTTAAAATCATTAAGAGCAGATATTGCTTATCTACAGGTAACTCATCTAATGGAAAAGGATAAATCTCTATTAATGAAGGATTGGGTGGGACAGGTTTACTTCACAGATACTTCAACGACAGCTAAAGGTTTGGCCATTTTGGTTCGAAAAGGATTTTGAACTGATGTACAACAGGTTATTACTGATGTGAATGGGCATTATTTAATTTTATGTGCTAAAATAGCAGGGATTGTTATAGCTATGATTAAAGTTTATGGACCCCAGTTTAGATTCTCCTATTACGTTTTATGAACGTTTTCAACACTTGAATGGGTGCAATTATGATAAAGTGATAATAGGAGGAGATTTTAATGAAATATTGGACCCTGAGCTTGATAGAAATACACTGGTATAGAAAAAACAATCATCAGTGAGGGAAACAATTAAGGCCTTTATGGAAGAATTGAATTTAATAGACCCTTGGCATTTGATATACCCAACTAAAAGAGAATATACATTTTATTCAAGTGTGCACCAGAATTTTTTTAGGCTTGATTATTTTTTAATATCATCAACTCTGTATCATCAAATTCAAGAACGTAATATTGATGTTTGTTATGTATCAAGCCATAGTGCAATTACTTTGAATTGTATGTTTCAGAAACCAGTCAAGGTACTGAGAAATTGGTATTTCAATATCTCCTTGTTGAATGATAAAAATTGTGTACAACAAATGCAAGTAGAGACTTTGCAATACTTTGATGTGAATTCAGAAACTTCAAGTGCTCGAATTTTTGAATGGGAAGCATATAAATCTTATATCCAAGACTGAATTATTGCTTATGCATCATATAAAAATAAGATTAAAAATAAAAGGGAAAATAATTTGAAAGATGAATTGAAACATTTATGGGCTCAGATGGTTAAATGCCCATCTACTACCTTGTACAGAGAAATACAGAAGAAGAAATATGAATTAAATACTATAATAATCATATAAAAATAAGATTAAAAATAAAAGGGAAAATAATTTGAAAGATGAATTGAAACATTTATGGGCTCAGATGGTTAAATGCCCATCTACTACCTTGTACAGAGAAATACAGAAGAAGAAATATGAATTAAATACTATAATATCACAGCAGACAGAATTCATGTTAACATGTTTATGACAGAGATATTGGGAGAATAGCAAAAGACCCAGTAAAATTTTGGCTAATCGCTGAAAGCAAAAGAAAGTTAGGGCAATTATTCCAATTATTAGGGGTGAAAGAGATGAAATATATAAAACTTCAAAGGATATAAATTGTCAATTTTTTAAATTCTATTCAGAATTATATAGCAAACCAGAGAATATATCAAATGAGGATATAGAGGCCTTTCTAAATAAATATAAATTTATCACACTTAGATGATGCACAAAAACTACTCTTGTTTGCTCCATTATCTGAGGTAGAGATTAAACAAATAATTTTAAAAATGGCAAGTGGTAAAACGCAGGATTGGATGAATTTCCTATAGAGTGCTACAGAACATATATAGACCTTTTGATGCCAAAACTTTGTCAATTGTATGATGAGATATTTGGTAAGGGTATAATCTCAGAACATTTAATCAGGCCTATATTACAGTTATACCAAAATCAGGCAAAGATCATATTCAGTGTGCTAATTATCATCCAATCTCATTGGTTAATGTTGATACAAAGATCTTAACAGCAGTGCTAGCAAATAGATTACAGCAAGTGATACTGTTCATTAAGAATGATCAAGCAGGGTTTATAAAAACTAGGCAAGCAACAGACAACATTACCTTAGTTGTAGATTTAATAGACTTGAATAAAAACAAAGACCAATTTGTAATTTTATCATTAGATCTAGGCAAGCAACAGACAACATTACCTTAGTTGTAGATTTAATAGACTTGAATAAAAACAAAGACCAATTTGTAATTTTATCATTAGATCTAGGCAAGCAACAGACAACATTACCTTAGTTGTAGATTTAATAGACTTGAATAAAAACAAAGACCAATTTGTAATTTTATCATTAGATGCTGAAAAAGCCTTTGACAAAATATATAGACAGTACATGTTTGCTGTACTAAACAGGTTTGGATTTCCTTTGAAATTTATAAAATGGATCGTGATGTTATATGAGTCCCTTACATCTAAAGTATAGGTTAATGGCATGTTTTCTGCTACTTTCCCAGTATTTAGAGGAACTAAACAAGGACGTCCACTTTCACCCTTGCTTGGAACCCTTGGCTTGTGCTATTAGACAATACAGGTAGATCTATGGAGTAGTACATAATTCAGTTGAACACAAACTGGTTTCATCTGCAGATGACATTCTTCTGTTTATTTCTAAACCTCACACTACAGTTCCAGCGTTGATACAAATGATAGATGCCTTTAGTAAAATAGCAGGATATTCTATTAATTGGTCCAAACTGGAATTAATGCCAGTAAGTGAAAATTTGGTTACCCATCCATTTAAGGAATATCAATCCCATCTTTGTACTGAATCTATTAAATATTTAGGTATGTGGAAGCGCATGCTATGTAATTGGTTTTTTTTATAATGTATATATCTTTGTGTTTTATTCCTTTTTGTTTTTTTAAATTTTTTGTTATAAAAGAAAATAATAGATAAATAAATAAATAAATAAAAAGAGCATTTTAGGTATATCAGCACAACCCATTTGAATGATGTCATTATAAAGTCGCTCTGCAGTGACATGGGTGGTGACAAATTTCAAATATAAATAAATAATAAATAAATAAATAAAGATTTCTGTTATAGAAACATACAATATCAAAAATGACAAGCTGTTGCATAATCCCATCTGTTTTTCCCCATAGATTTCCCACCCCCTACCAATATGAAAATCATTACTGATAAACAAAAAGGAATTTCTGTAATATGGGAACCTCCTAAATCCATTGGAAAAAAACTTTTATGGTACATAGTGGAATGGATTTCTGCAAACCTCAGTCATTTTCATCATAGCATTACATGGAAAAAAGTCCCTTTCCAAAATACATCAACTTCTTTAGAAGGTAAGTTACAAGTCAACATGTTTTGGTGTCTTCATAATAAATATCAAACATGAATACATATACTGAAAGAGTAAATGCGCTCTCTGATAACACAAAATTACTTCTAGTTGAGTTTTTTTTTTATCCTCAGTAATCTAGAATGCTTTTTCAAGGCATGATCTACTTTGAATCCAAAATAGCCATGATCTAATAAATTAATAAAGAAAAGACTACTAAAATCAAAAGAACATCTCAGAAATTATGTTGGGTGAGCCTGAAAGTCATCATTCATTTCTCAGAGCGAGTAATCAGATGGAGGACGTGTACAATAGTGCTGTTCCACTCAAGTCTGTCAGCAACTGGTATTCATGGACATCTGGAGTTAAAAGATGGCTGTCATAACTATTGTCATTGATAGTCTTATCTTCCATGAATTTGTCTGCCTCTCTTTTATGGCTACCCAAGTAGTTCACATGGATGAATACAGCTATTGTGAGAACATAGTGAAAGAGACACATTTAGATCCCCCTTGGATGGGATGCAACTGTGATAATTAAAAACATTTTCAGAGTGGATGTTCCTGTTGTTGTTATGCTTGTTGCTATTAACTGCTCATGTAAAACAATTAATTTATGATTTCCTTTTTTAGAAACAGGTTTTGTTTCTAATGATCATGATTCCTTTTAAGAATATGCATTAGAACTGAAATTCCATAAAAATTATGTGCTATTTTTCACAGAAAGCATCAGAATTGAAAATAACTCCATTTCAGTATATGCTGTGTATCAGAAAGGCATCAGCCAGGCCAGCTCTGTCCAGAGTAAGTAGAACTCAAGCAGGCCTATTGTAAAGGATTAATCTTAGTTACTGATATATAAACTTTCCAGCTAAGCATCCTCCAAAATATGTAGCAGCTTCCTTTCATCTGGTTGTATACTCTACAGACTGTGTGTGTGAGAGAGAGAGTGCCTTTGAGTCAGTCTTAACTCCAGGTGAGTGCCTAGACAAGTCCCTGCAGTTTTCTTGGCAACATGTTTGGAAGTGGTTTGCCATTGCCTCCTTCCTAGGGCTGAGGGAGAGTGACTGGCCCAAAGTCACCCAGTTGGCTTGGTACCTAAGGCAAGACTAGAACTCCCAGTCTCCCAGTTTCTAGCCTACCTTAAATAGTTACACCAAACTGGCTCTCTACAGATGTAACTTAGAACTGTGCTTATCCAAAGTAGTATTTTATTTCTAAGAATTGTTTCAGAACTGAAATCAAACCAATGTTTTACCGAAAACAGTATTTTGCACTCAAAACCTTATTGTTCTACTATTCCCAAACAGCCATCATGAAAACATGTGAAACTAACATTCAGGATCTCAGGTCAGGGGATTTTTTATGCCATTCAGAAACAGGTATTTTTTTTGTGAAATATGCTTTCAACTTCTCAATATTCCATGTTGGATTCATTATGTAAAGGGGTATTGTCAAGTCTAGGACAAATGTGGAAAGCCAAAAGAGTTAAAAATCCTTGAGCATTTGATCAGCATATGATCCAATCATGCAATCTAATGAAATACAAATTAGTGAACACAGACCTACTCTTACAGTTTCTTGTTTTTTCTCTTTCTGAAGCACATTTTGCTATTTGCTGCAGAAGTTGGCATGTAGGCAGCCAATGTTTCTAGACAATGAAACATCGAAGACAAAAAGCAAGTGGATACACAAAATCCAATCACCTTAGCCACTGCATTAGTAAAGAGTATGCAGGGGCCATTCATAAGCAATGATCACAGCTCTGGTGATGAAAAGAAAATGTTTTCCCTAAATAAAGATGACAGTTCTGATAAGGATGAACATTTACAGTATTTCAGTACTTGTCTTCTTGAAGATTCTTAAGATTCAGTGAAGACTCATTCTCTACCTAGGCCCATAGAAGATCATACTGATACTGGAAACATTGCAAAGGCCAGTGAAAAAAGTATTATGATTCAGAACTCAGTCTAGAGAATTGTGTGGCTTTTGTATGACAGTCTCTCTGTATTGGTTGACAGTAGAGTTCTGAAGATTCAAAAGGAAAAAGAAACAGTGGGAAAAATTACATTGTGCATTTATTTAACATAATTAGCAGCAAAATATGAAGCAAAGACTCCTTGCCTTGAACCATTTATGATTTTCTGATGGGTTTTCATTATTATTATTATTACATAAAAAGAAGCCCAAGAAAAGGACTCTTCAGAGAAGACACTTCATGTTGTAATGAAACAATGAAAAAGATCTTCAAACATGCTCAATAGTCATACATGTCTCATATATTTGAAAGCAATCTAAATATTTTTATAGCTTTAAATGTGATTTCATATCTCACTATGGCAATGAGCCAATTCCACCAAAGCACTACAGAACAGCATGAAAGATATGTCATCCAGAGGTAATATTCTAGCAAAAGTAAGCACTGGTTCAGCTTATATATTCTGTTTCTGCATGCAATTCTTCAGTATGAAAACGTTAATAAGTTGCTTAGCGTTAGGGACCTATGATCCACAGACTTCCTGCACCACAGCTGTTCAACAAACTGGATCTTGATAGAGCCTCTGAAATTACCAACTTCCATGTTGAAGCAAAGATACTTTATCTGAATATTTATATGAAACAAAAGTACAAATTCAATGATCCAGTGCTGAAGGAAGCAGTTGTGCTTGCTCCTCTGCAGAAAATCTGAGCTATCATTGATAGAGACTCTTTTGGAACAATTTCTTGAAGATTATCATGGAGTAAACGGAATTATAGTTTTATAGATTTCATGCAGGACAGAGATGTACCTCCAGTCAGTTGTGGCAAATTAAGGATTGATCAGTCTGGACAACAACTTTCTAAACTGTGAAATGCAGCTATTGGGCAACCATAGTTTCTAGCTTCTTCTCATTCTGAAGATTATGTGTTGCTCATTCAACACAATAATACTTTCTGTGAATGGCATTTTCCAGCTTCATTAGGACAAAATACAACTGTGGTTGGAAGGCCCCTAGGGAAGTTTGCAGACGATCTGCTGCAGAGTAGATACATTAGACATTAGAAATAGTCTCTATGTAGCCTCAGCATCCTAAATCAGTACATTCCAGAAATACAATTGTGCTGAATGTCACCAACTATTGATTCAATCCATAGAGCAAAATCTGCTATATGTAGAAACTTTTAGGCAAAGAAAGAAGTTTCTGAAGAGTTTGGACAGACTAGTTAAAGACACATTTTTCTTTAGCTCCAACTAGTTATCACTTGTTACTGGGAGATATTTCTTTAGTAGGACTTAGGGGAAGATGGCTTCCTTGTGCCAAGCTTTGTTGCAGTTATTAAAGTCTGGTTTCATTGGATTAGGGCTTGATAATGCATACTGGGGGTGGGGTGGGGTGGGGTGGGAGAGAACAAAAAAAACATCTATAGTGTACTATGCATAATAGATTGTGGTATTACCTATCTATTTCTGACTTTAACATGTCCTGTGTAGAAATCAAACTGGGTATTTTACCTAGTGAATGGAAATATGTACTTTCAGAATAAAAAAATCCCAGTTTCAGATGATATTAGTTTCTTTTCCTGTAGTATAACATCCTGATTTGAATGGCTAAATTTTGTATACTTCAAATCATGCAAAAGGCAATTAAAACAAACAAACAAACAAAAAAAAAACAGCAACCCAATTAGAGATGGGTTGCAT